TCCCACGTTGTACTTCAAGTGTCTGTTTTTCTGACGACGTACCAACAGGATCAGCAGCACTACCAGTAGTAGTAGGAGTAGAAGTAGTAACTGTAGGACTTTGGGGTCCAGCAATTTCTTGAGTAGCGGATTGGTGTGCGACAAGGGAAGGTTTCGTAATAACTGATTGGTCTCTTGCTGTTTGATGAAGTACTTCTTTACCCTGTTGTTTCAATGCAGAGTTTTCATCCCTATCCCCGTTTTCAGTTGCGTCGGGCTGTCGTTTATTACGATCACCTTCAGATTTTACTCCTTGAAGTTGTTGTTCTTGTAGTTGTGATGACAGTTTTGCAGGATCACCTGGTTCTCCCATTCCACTTCCTCCAACACCAGCACCAGGTGCAGTTCCTCTTTCGCCAGGACTAAGCTGTCCACCAGGTAGAACAGGTCCCATTGATGGAGTGAGAGTGGATTCCTTCAAATCTTTAGGTTGTGGACAAGAAGTTTTAGAACCTTGAGGGCAATCACCTTCACTTTCCCTATCCTTTTCGGTTGGGCACTTCTCATTGCCTGAAGGGTCTGGGCACCCAAGAGGATTAGCTTTTGCTACGTCAGTTTCATTATCACTCTTGGAGCCCTTCTTGCCTGCATCACAACCACTACCATCATCAGAAACAGTTGGGGGATCAGAACATGTACGTTCTTCCTCTTTAGACGCCACACACACACAGGCAACACTCAAAAGCAATGCCATAAAAAACAACAGTCGTCGCAACAACATCATGAAAAACACTTAGCTGAATAGTTCAACGTAACCAAACCTCACAGAAAAAGAAGAGAAGTTAATAGAGAATAAAATAGATACATACAAGAACAGAAGGAAAAACGCAGAAAAAGATAAAAAAAACAAATCTTAGGAAAATCACAAGAGAAGACAACGCGCACAAAGATAAAAGAGCCCAAAAAAGAACAGAATGCCCAGCACGGAAAAAAGATAATCCCAATTAACCCCTCAAAACCGAAACAAAAGTGAGAGAACGATTATCAGAAGCACAAAGCACAGAAATACAAAAGATTTTCACTTTCGGTGGAACCATATGCCAATTATCAATAAATATGTTTACTCCTTTTTATTGTTTTTCCGCACAAAACAATCCAACAGCAGAGTGCAGGACAAAGCACACAGTGCACACAGAAAGAAAAAGAAACAAAAAAATTGAGAGAAGCATCAACAGCAGAAAAATAACACAGAACTCTAGATATGCTGGTGTTCAAGCACATACGAATACAAATTGTATTAATTACTATTTTTTTTTGTTCTGCAAAGAAAAACAAAGGGAACCACAAGCAAACAAACAAAAACATATTAATCATTAGCCCAATTTACACAGTAAACACAGAAATACACCAACTATGAGTGTAAGTCTATATATGTGTGTATATACGCAATTATAAATATAAATTCATCTGTTATTATCATTTCGTTTTCTTTTTCCCACTGCAAAAAGCAGTTCATCATTATCACAGTGCAAGAGCAGGCACACACACAGAGAGAGTCTCCAAGAACACACACACACAATGGAGTAGTAGCAATAATAATTATTATAGGATAAACACAGATAGCAAAAACACACAAAAACACATTAACATTAAGAAACACAAAAAAGAAGAAGAGAAATCCCAACAGGTGGAAGATTAGTGAGAATGTAGGGATTGTATGCAAAAAAAGAAAAAAAGAAAACAAAGGATGACCTAAATCACACCACCATTACTACAATCAGCACACAAGAATACAGGCCAGTGTAACCACAATCAGTAGTGGTACACGCACCCACACAGAACTGCTGATACTGCTGCTGCTGTCTGCATCACCCTTCTTGTTGTTTGTGAGTTCAGGAGGAAGTGTTGTTGTTGTTGTTGTTGTGGTGGTGGTGGTGGTGGGTGTTGTTGTATCTGTATTACCAACATCACCTTCTTGGTTATTTGGTGATTCACTCTCTGCAGGTTTACTGACATTCTCAGCCGCTGTAGTATCACTCCCAGTACCTGTTTTACTGTCACTCTCGGTGTCTGAATTGTTCGAAGACGGTGCATTGTGTGCGGCATCACCTCCCTGGTTAACTCCACTCACTTCTGTTGTACTGCCGCTGCTTTGTTCAGCTTGAGGGACAGTTGAAGATGCATCCCTAGTCGTCACGGTAATAGGTGCAGATGGAGGAGATATAGTAGGTTGAGTAGAAGAAGGGCCCGAACCACCACCATTATTAGCACCAGAACCCAGTCCACTGCCAACTGTGCTCAATGCACTGGAAACACCACGTTCCGCAGCAGCATTAGCTGGCACTTCGCTATTCCGATCGTTTGATGTAACATGTGTTTTCGGCTCCTTTGGACAAGTATTACCTTCTCCAGAAGTAGCTTCAGGACAATTAGCACCAGGTTCAAGAGCTTCAGATAAAGCTTCAGATCCTATTTCAAGTCTAGGTTCAGGTTTCTCAGCAGAAGGAATACATTTACCATCTTTAAGAGTACCATTAGTGCACTCAGGAAGACCACCAGCAGTCTCAGAACAAAGTTTACCACCTTCAGAGCAATTGCCATCAGGACCTTGACCAACAGGAGGATTACATTTCTCAGCATCACCATCAGCAGGGCACGGAACAGGAGTACCTTGAAGAAGAATCTTTGTCTCACTCTCCGTGTCAGGGACTTGGTCGGAAAGATCGGCGGCAGGCACTTCTTCAGCGAGGACGTGCACACACGCACAGGAGAGCAGGAGAGCGAGGATACACAGCACGTAGCGCATCATTATTATTATTATTCCAATGGTTGCAGAAATTGTGGATATCGTTGCACCTGTCTTAGTTCAATGGAATGCACAAGAAAGAAGGGAGGGAAAACCAGAAACACACAAACATACACCATAACAAGAAATACTCACAGTGGAGAGAGAAGCAGTAACTACTCAGTAAAGCAACAAAAAGTAATATCCCACTTGTAATAATAATATGTAATCCCTTAATAGAAAAGAAGACCCCACAGTACCCAAATAAGAAAGAGAGCCAAACACACACAATATCCCATGGCTCTAGTTTATGTATGAAATTACTGCACACACACATCTGTGTGTACTAGCAAGAGATGTATACCGTTAGTGAGCAGAACAGCCCAGGTTTCTGCAAACACACAAAACGGAAAAGCAAGTAATGGAATTATTAGAAAAAGAACACACACACGTAAAAGTAAAAGAAAAGAAACTCGAATTAAAAAAGAAAGCTGATAAACAGATTATTAATTTATTTCACCTATGGTGGATGTACGCAATTATGATTATGTTATTTTAACCATTATTATTATTTGTCCTCAGATGAGTCCCACCGTTCAGTACAGGGTAGCGGAGAACAACACAACCACAATCAGCATCGGTGCTGCAGTGCGCATCCACACAGGACTGACACTGCTGTCACCATTAGCCTTGTTCTTTAGGGTGGAAGCGATGTTGCTGATCTCTGAATTGGGTACAGGTGCAGGAGATGGAGTGGTGGTTGCTGCATCAGTGACATTGCTCTCGGAGCTCGGCTGAGTAGTGGAATTGGTTTCTTGTGATTCTGTGGTAGTGTTCTCGGGCCTCGGTGGAGTAGTGGAACTGGTTCCTTCTGGGTCTGAGATGACTTCCGCACTTCCCTCTACAGGCGATTGCTGGTTACCTGTATTCTCGTTATTGGATGCTGTTGAAGTTCTACTGTTCTCTGGAGGTGCATTCGGTGAAGGACTGTCATTAGCCGGTGGACTCACAGAAGAAATTACTGCAGATGTAGACTGTGCGGATGTATTTGATGTGTCTGTCGTACTTTCTCTATGAACTCCGCTTCCAAAAGAGTTGTTCTCAGAACCCACAGGACCGTGTTGACCTTCACGACCCACATTACCAACGACACCACTGGCTTGAATACCACCTTCAGGAAGTTCCGCACCTTGTACCCCTTTTTCTTGTAGGTGTTCTTGTTGTGCGTGTTGTTCAAGACTGACACTGGTACCTGGTATACTGGGATCACTTGTTATTCCCACTGACGTACAATTTAATTTACCTTTAATAGCAGAAAGGTTAGTTTTACACTCCACTCGCAATATCTGTTCGTTCTGTAGTCGTTCAGCAGTTCTGCTAACCGAAGTATCAAATACCGCCATCACCGCCTTTCGCTGTCCTGCCTTAACAGCAGTAGCAGCAGCCGCCATGGTATACCCGCAGGCGCAGCACAGCACAACGGCCAACACACACATCACACGGCTCATCATCATCATCATGAGAGAGACAAGGGTTTGTTTCACGTAAAAACACTGAACTAGAAAGAAAGGCAACCAAAGAATCAAAAAAAAGAAAATAAATGAAGTATCAAACATGTTAGAACACACCAATCGATTACCACTATGGAAACTCACATCGTGAAAGTAAACCCTACCAGTTAAAGAATGCAATACAGCGCAATAACCTCAGTAAGAGTAGAACAAAAAAGGCCCACACTCACAAATATTAACAAAAAAGGCTGAACCACCCAGCACAATCATCAAACAAACAAACAGATATTAACCATTAGCCCAATTTACCCAGTAAACAGAGTAATACACCAACTATGGGTATAAGTCTATATATGTGTATATATACGCAATTATAAATATAAATATTCATCTGTTATTATTATTTCCTTTTCTCATTGCAAAAAACAGTTCACCATCATTATCACAGTGCAAGCCCAGGTGCACACAGAGAGTCTCCAACAACACACAATGAAGCAGGAATAATAATTATAGGATAAACACACAGAGAGCAAAGAGGAATCCCAACAGTTAAAAGATTAGTTAGACTGTAGGAATGTTTGCAAAAAAAGAAAAAGAAAACAAAGGATGACCTGAGTCACACCACCACTATTACAATCAGCACACAAGAATACAGGCCAGTGTAACCACA